AAATATCTACCTTTACACAAATCAAGTCCGAACTACGTTGGTTTGATCCCTTTGAAAGGGTACGTAGGCAATCTAGAGATTCAATCTAGATGCAACCATCCCAAACACAACTCCATATCGAATCCCTGGCTTATTCAGCTAAATTCACTCAAACACCCCTCAATCAAATTCAGTCAAATTCCCCCTTTTTTGCAATGAGTCATCTATTCATTGCGAATCTTTGAACTACGAGTGGCTTGATTCTCGCAAAGGATACGTAGGCACCCTGAGGTTGAACTTGGGAGCAGCCGCAAAACCAAACACATACATTCTGTTTCTTTATGATGGAATCAAAGGGTTTTCCCTTGTAGCGAGGGATTGTAATTAAGAGACTTGCGTCTCGAATGGGTCGAACCTAAAATAATAAAACCCCATTAATTGATTAGTGGTGGTGAAATTATGTTTAGAGATTTACAGTTTTTCTTCAACACATATATAACAATCTTAAAGAGAGCTCTCTATCCATAAAAACTGGAGACTTGAAGAAACTGACGACCGACCATGTCATGCAATTTTTGTGATCAATAGCTAATTAGGCGTGACATTGGGATTATATTAACTGCTGTTAATCTTAAAAAAACAAAAACAAAAACGATATTGTTGTGAACACAAGTACAAACTCACGAGACATCACCAAAAAAGATCAAACACAGAATTCTATATTGTCATATAACATACAATCCTAATTAAACTAAGTTAGGATTGACTGACTTTTAAAAAGCGAAAAAAGAAAACTATGTCTAGGACTAGGAAATCTAGCCAAGGGTCACGTTGAAATTCTTCCAGGAGCCCTCACAATTTACATGGCTAGTCCATGTCAAAGTCGATGTCTGATTGGAATCGGATAAGCTCTTGAACCTCTTCCAATCGTGAATCGCAGCGGTCAGATCAGCCACCTTAGCACTTATAGTCCGGCAGCAGTTGGCATGAACCGTTCTGACAACTTTGAAGTCTTTGCTAACTTCACAGAAGCCACTGAAATAAAGGGTGTCCAAAAACCTCACACTGAGGCCCAACTCTCTGAAAAAACCTTCCTGCATCATGTTGTTCAAAACATCCTGCTCTTTCAATCCTGTGGAGTTGTTTCTTCTAGCGTACCACTCCTCGAATAGCGAGATTGTTCTGTTGTTGGACCTGACCATGTAGAAGCCTGTGTTGATGGGGTTGGCTTGAGACCATTCATCCCCATTGAATTTATCAACGCTGATTTGAAGATCTATGTTTTCATTGAAGCTTGTTAGCCTTGGGAATGGGTTCCTTAGCCACAACACATCTATGTCCTGTAAATGGAAATTTTGGATATATGTAAGCTAATTATATGTCGAATATCATAACTTTTCGGATCCACCTTACTAAAATATAAATATTTTGAATCAAACATATAATCCACTCACATATTGTTTTTTTATTTACTCCCACTTGTGATTTTTACTTGTTAATTTATCAGCCAAAAAACATTACTGCGAATCAAACATAACAGAGTATGGCATTATATATTTCACATTTTAGTTTATCAACTGGACCCTTTTACGAGAGTGACATATTATGTTGTCGGATTATTTATCGAGTAATGAAGCTGAATAGCTTCGCAATACGATTATGTTGAGAAAACTTACTGTGAATACAAAACTATAGCCTCTCTTTAGCATCTCCTTGAGAAACAGGGTTCTCCTCCACATCATCTTGATAAAATCTTGCGACATGTAGAGTTCCTCGGCCTCAAAATCGGCACCATCTGCTTCGAGCTTGTAGCAGTGAAGGCGAAGAAACTTGCAACGTTTGAAGGAAGTTTGATCGACGGCAACAAGAAGCAGGTGAGAAATCAAGCCCCTTGTGTCTTCTCCGAGCCAGAAACCATCTAAAAACATATCAAGCATTGGCTTGTCTCCTTCCACATAGGCCTTATTTACAATAGCAATTATCACAGTCTTGTTTGCCATGGAAGCCTCAGATAAAGCTGATTCAAGCCCATCTCCAGGGCCAATTGTGTTGCTCTGTCCCAAACAAATTAACTTGAGCAAATCACAACAATTACATATTAAACGAAAACAGAAAAAAGCCAACAAGAACAAAAACGGAAACAAAAACAAAAACAAAAAGATTATTATTTATTACCTTGGTAGAGGATTGGCATTGGTGAGTTTGGAAGACAAAGAGTGGTTTGGATCCATCCGTGGTCTGGTTGAACATTAAAAATAAAACTAAACCAGCAAACAGAAGGCAAAATAATGTAATATTTCGATTTTCCATGTGATCTTTGCCTTCGCTAATTCGGTTTTCTTGTGAAGAAGAAATATGTTGTGCTATTTTCATGAGGGCTGCCTCTCCCTCCCCATATCCGTAAAAACATAAGAACTCAAGAAACTACCAAGTCATGCAATTTGTATTCTGGAGTAATTAGGAGTGGTGTTGGTGCGTATTAAGGATTGTTATTAAATTCTAAATGCAAAACGCTACCTGTTGTTAATAACATAACATAAATAAATACCAAAAAATCAACCCAAAAAACATCAAAGAGAATCCTAATCAGACGACGCTTAGGATTGAGTTTTAAATGCAAAGAGTCTTTGAAATTACGTTTAGTTAATCTTATCTTAATTGTCACTTACACTTGATTTTCAGATATCGTAAGGACTTTACAACAATTCCCCTGACATGCCGATGCGCAGCTTTATTTTCTTGTATAATGTGACTGATGAGTTTTAGTTTTATTTCTAAACGATATCAATCAATAGTCATCTCTATATTTATATATGAAAATCATTAATACCTTGATGAATTTCGTTTACGTTAATTTTTCTAGCTAATCCAATTAGCGTACACATCAAGAACTTAAATCCATATGGGACGTGTACACTGACATGTGATTTATTTTAAAATGAAGGGTGGTAAATCCTGTGCTTCCTTAGATGATCGTAGTGAGTGAGGCTACATATGAGATGAAAAGATGTATGATAAAGCCAATCAAAGTGGTTTTCCTCTCACTTATATATAATTTGCATAACTAATTAAATAAAAATTCATGGTCAAGCTGTAGAAGAATTAACGGCAGTCTCTCTAAAAAACTTGATCAACGCTACCATCTTTTCATCAGGAACATGCATATTTTTCACCACAGGTAGCTCAATCAGCGAATATGTGACGTACTGATTTGTTACGACGATTTTTTATCTTTTGCTACGGTTTTTGTACCTTTAGTGACTATTTTAATGTCTTCACCCACGAAAAAAACCGTCGCTAACTGCTGCTAAAACTACTATTAGCATCGTACAAGAAAACCGTCGCTAAATATCCCTCTCCGGGGCATTGCACGGGGAAAAATAGAAAAGAACATCACAAAAACTTCCTTTTTAATATCTTTATATGTATATACACATATTACATGAAAACATATCACAAATTCTCGTCCAAATGATTACTATGACACATGGAAATGCCCTAATCAGTTCAACAAACTAGAGATGGGAAAAACAGATCAGTGCAAGTTTATCATGCCCATCTGAAGGCGATCCTTTTTCTCTACTAACATGCTAGCAACTTCCTGTTTCTTCTCAGTCCTTTGGAATGGTCTTTCACAAATGCTGCAAAAGTAAGAGCGGAAGCTGGACTATAGAGTGTAATCCAAAAGACTGCTATCTTTGAACATCCCCTGGGCATCTTCATCCATCCACAGGCTACGAATTGCATCCAAGCATTCATCGACCTAAAGTTCACACCAAACGTTATAGATTGAAATCAGAAAATTCTTTTGCTATCACATCCAACTGTCGGCCAATGAGTAATACAACCATATGCAACACATGAATGTGATGCCCATATCAAACATAAAAAATTGAAATTGGCAAAGACGTTTGAAAGGTCAGTTCGAAATAACAATCAACGTATATTTTCTGATAATAGCCCCTCAATTTTGTCCACAAGACAAAATTACTCTGTTATGTGACAATATTTAAACAAAATGGTAGTCAAGGGTGCATAGATAAAACAGCAAAAGGATTGTTCCATGATACAGAATATAAATGGTGTTTGTGCCTGTGCACCTATGTGATCAGTGTTCATATGCACAACAGCTGACTTGTCGAGCCTTATTCAGGTAACAATAAGTACACTAACAACACATTATACAGCATGTGATGCTTGCAAAAGCTTGTGTTCCACACTCACAACTGAAAGTTACTTGAAACTAACTATAATTATATCAACCACAAAACATAACTGATACCTCAAGGCTGATCAGGGAACTTGACATCTTGTTTTGATCACATCGAAGGGAGTGGTGAGATATGCACTAAATGCTACTTGAACTTGCGTATGAATTTTTTCTTCCCCTAGCCAGTTAAATACTCAAGCCTTCATAAGAACCTGCATGGTGCAGATAATAATCGTAATTTTGAAGAAATAAGAATCACAAGTTATAAAGGAAAGAGCAACAGATAAAGACAACTAAATCATTTTGAGGCCAAAATCCTACCTGCTTATGATTCATCAATGATCAAAAGATGGTATGTCTGAACTTTCCTTGCTGGGACAAAACAAAACAATAAACTAGTGCGGTGAATGTGTGTTAAGAAGTCACAATCCTATTTGAATAAATTTTAGTTATTTGGAGTTGCAATCCTATTTTCCCAGTGGTACAAAGCAAATGACGTAAAGGCAAAAAGAAAACGGTGTGACATACAAACTATCACTATTCTATGCACCTACCATTAGACCAACCAAATCTACATCCCTTGCAGTGCTGACCACTATCTGCCTAATGAAAGAAAAAATAAATCCACAATTACACCACAACAATGTGATCATAAGTCATATGAGCGCATATGCCTGCCTTTCTGTCAGTGTTGTGTGAGGGTGCATACATGGATGGGGCCACATGCAACAGGCTCCAGTATTTTATAGTGAACTATTAGACTCACAGTGAAACTAAATTGCACGTAGTACAACCTCAAACTAAGTCAGTTTTTTTTTTTTTTTTTTTTTTTTGGTGGTAAGAAGCACATAATTTATTAATGATAAAAGAATTAGAAAGGGGATGAAGGCAATATCCATCTATAACCCTGTTAACATCCTCAACCCCAAACACTAAGTACTATATAATCAAACTAACTACTGTAACCAAAAAAATATATATATATTCAAGCTAACTATGTGGTGGACACATAACAGTCTTCATGACTCTTAACTGCCTGATCGCAATCATAATGTAAAATGGAGAGAAGAGGAAAGCAGGAGGAGGGGATACCATACATTTGGATACCAGGCTTCAAAGCTAAGCTATGGAAAGACTATACTAAGAAAATGAAATGCCATATCCAATGCTTGAAAACTTACTTTCTTATCAAAAAATTTCTATGAAGTTCAATGCCATCCATATGATTACATACCAAAAAATTGAGCTTTACCCATTAGCCATGGATGTTACATCTATAACATGTTTACTCTATTATCATACCTGACTTGCATAAAGAAGAGATTGGCCCCAGAATTTCGGTGTCAACCGGATACACCCCATTTCTGCCCCAAACCCCAGCTCCCCCTAGCAACTCCCTTGAAACTACATTGACAGACTAAAAAATCAATCACGGAATCCCTACAAGTCCTTAAATATTACACAATTCTACTATGAGACAAAAAACGCATAACCAGACAAAATTTTATACACATTGGCATACACAAATATACATTCACTAAACATCAAAAACCTTAACTTCTTTTCTCTCCCAACAATGTTTTTCCATAAAGAAACATAATTTTTTTCGTTTGATTTCTACCTTTGTGTGAATTGGTTATTTTCAATATTGCAAAAAAGGGTTTCCGGCTGCTTCAAATTCCAAACATGTGTAGTCAATGGTTGCATTTTTCTACAAGATTAAAACTTTATTCTTTCAATTCAACTGCTTGATGTCAGAATCAAAATTTTCTTTTTGCTTTATGAATTTCTCGCTATTTAGAGAATTGGAAGGCTTACCAAACAAAAAGACAACGAATTGGTGGGGTTGTGGTCAATTGGGATTAGAGTTGAAAATGTGTGAGCTCCCATCACTCCCATGGTTCTTCTTGCTTGTTGCCATTTGAGAGGAGCGAGGACGGAGAAAGCCTAGCCTTTTCTCCTGCCGTCGATCCCATCTCTCCCATCTCTATCTTGGTCAGATCGTTTCGTCGAACGGTAATCTGACTCTGGGAATGATTTTTAATCGTTGGATTTGATGTCGGAAGGGATCACAGCTTAGGCAAACACATATCAATCGAAAACTTTTACATGTTGCAAAACTGAAAAGTCAATACTACCCTTAATGGTAGGCCCAAATTAACTTATAAAGGATCCTATTTTACTTGAAATGTAACGTATTCTCATTAGATAACGTTACTTAATAGTATTTATTTATTCCGTAAGAGGACTCAAACTTAGACCTTGATAGTAAATAGAACAATTCTTATCAACTCAACCGACTCATATAATTTTTTGATTCGTCTCCTTCCGTATATTATAATAGTTTATAATATTACTTTGTTAAAAAAAAGTATAAATAAAAGTTTTTTTTGTTCCATTTTTTCTTTTTGTCTTCTCTCTTTGATTGCCACTGCAGGGCAGATCCAAATGTACATTGAAATCGCCATTGATGCATGATCCAAACTTGAGTGTAGGAAAAATCCAAACTTTGATTTGAAGGTTAATTAGTGGTGCATTACATTTGAGAGAGAGAGAGAGAGAGAGAGAGAGAGAGAGAGAGAGAGAGGAGAGTATGAAAAATAAAGATGAGCGAGGTGTAATTAGATCACGTTCTGAACCGGCTTTGAATCCCAATCGACTCAAAGACAAGTCTTTGGCTCCCTCTACCTCTACCTCACTTGCTGCCAATTATCGCAATATTGATGCATCCTATGATCAGGGTCAGTTTCACTTTCAATGCATAATAACATGCATTTATTATATGATAAACCTCATAACAATCCATCATATTATCATATATAATAATTATTATTATTATTTTCCTAATACTGGGGTTTTGCTGTAATTCATATGTATAATGTTACGTTATGATATGGTGTTTTTTTTTTTTTTTGGCACAATGTTATGATGTTTTTACACAAAGGTACTTGCTCTTCTACTCTGTCTTTTGATTTGTGAGGCTTGTTATTGAAGTTATTCGACTTCCTCGTATGTTTTATCTAATCAGTTTTAAACTTGTTTGGGCAGACTAATTCATGTACATATCTTGAAGAGGTTCTGTGTTTGGTGTCAAGCTATTGACTTTTCTCATCTAAGTGGTCATGCTGCCAAATAATCTTTTGTTGAAATAGAGTTCTCTCTCTAGCCCATCTTAGTTTAATAATTTTGGTTCTCATTTTGATCATATGAAGGTTACATTCTTGCTGAATATATTTATAGTTTTCTTTTCTTTATTGTGTGGCTTTCAGATAGTTTATTTATTTATTTATTTATTGTGCAGGGGAATCAGCTGGAACAAGTTGCAAAGGTTCAGATGTTAGATGCCTTGATGATGAAGATACATCTTGGATATCATGGTTCTGCAATCAGAAAGGGAATGAATTCTTTTGTGAAGTGGACGATGACTACATCCTGGATGATTTCAACCGTTCTGGTTTAAGAAATCAAGTCCCATTCTATGATTATGCACTGGACTTAATTTTGGATGTTGAGTCGTCCAATGGTAAGATATTTGCCTATCTGCAATATGAAATCAATAACTTCTTATGTAACCTGTAAGAAATGCTGTTTGAACATGAATAATAATTTGTTCTCCATTGGGATCAACAACAGATGGTACTTTAACTGATGATGAACAGAACAATGTGATCGAATCCGCAGCAGAGATGCTCTATGGTTTAATTCATGGCAGATACATAGCTACTAACAAAGGATTGTCTGCAATGGTAAGGTGTTTAACCATGCAACTTTATATGGTTTTTTCATGATGTTGGATATCAGGCTTCCTTATGCAATAGTGTGCAATTCAGTTGGAGAAGTACAGGAACTATGACTTTGGCAGATGTCCAAGAATTCACTGCAATAAACAACGATGTCTGCCTGTTGGCCAGTCAGACATCCCAAGGTTAAGCACTGTCAAAATCTACTGTCCTAAGTGTGAAGACATTTATGCCCCACAATCCAAACACCAAGATCGTATCCTTGTAATAAAATCTGTATGACTTTTGCAAATGACTTCAGTTATGTTTTGTTGAACAGCAGTTTTTCAATGTTTCCTTGACAAACACTCTTAGAAATTGATGGGGCATATTTTGGAACCACATTTCCTCACCTTTTTTTCTTGACCTACAGCCATCTTAAACCGCAGAAAGCAAGTCAGAATTATGTTCGGAGAATATATGGCTTCAAAGTCCACAAGGAGGAATGATCAATCTTTTAGCTGCAAAGGTGCTTCTCTTGATGAAGAAAGGTAAAGGGGTCCAAGCAGTGTTGTTTCCCCTTGTAAGGTAAAAAAAACACAGGCCAGTTCCCAAAAGCCCTGTTTTCATTGTACGTACTGGGTTGTTCATAATGGTTATTTAACTTGTTTAGGTTGAGCACCATGATTCTTTGGCAGTGTTAAGTGGAAAAGTTCATATTCTTTCGCGTCATTATCGATATGTGGATGGTGGCCATTTACTTTCTAAATAGAAAACTTGAAGTGCGTCATGGGGCTTTCCAAGGACGCGTACCTTCTTTCAAATTTCATGCTTAAAAGCTGAAGGGCAACCTCAGCCCTACTTAAAAAGTTAGTTTTTTTTCTTAATTTTAACTTTTCTAGTTTTACCACCGATGCTGTTTATCTGCCTCTCTAGCAGATAAAAAGCTCATAACTTGCTGAAAGGAACCTGAAGTTTTTCTACCAGGAAAAAATTGTGGACAGGACATTTTATAGGAAACCAAGAGAGAGTGATATAGGAAGTAAACCGGTCTATAAATATGTTTTGAGATATGGTAGTACAGATTACTGTTACCAGCATTCTAGAGCACATATCTGTTACAAAAAACTACAACAGTTTGGCATCACTTCCATCATTACATTACATTCAAAAGGGTATAAATATTATATATCAGTTTCCATGGACAAACCTAGCTCCAAACCATTCAAGGGATAGCTAAAAGAGTGCTAATCTCAAGGGTCATCCATCAGAATCACAACAATCACCATGCTGCAGCAGCTAATTTCTCAAAATCACGATGGATGCTCTGAATGCCTTCAGTGATAGCATTTGCTTCTGATTGCAGCTTGCTAATTTCAGAACCTTTGGCCACATCGATTGCCATCAGGGTCCCCCGTTTTTCCTTCAAGTCCTTGATCTCCTTATCAATCCGACTGATTGTTTCATTGTTTCTGGTTCTGTCAAAAGTACACTCCGTGATCTGAATGTCAACTTCTTTTGATTGGTTCTCAAGCTGACCCAACTTAACTTTCATTTCAATCAATTCCTTCAGACGATGCCGTACTGCCGTAACATCAAATCCCAACATTTCCAAGTCAACTAGTGCCTCCAAATTGCTATCAAATAAGTCTCTAGGATCACCAACTTGCAACTTGGAAGTCTTCTCCACCAAAGAGGCAAAGGTTATCATATTTCCAAGAGCGGATCCTTCGCGACAAACCGCTTTACACTTCATCAGAGGATGAAAATGTGGCCTTTGCGGAAATCTTTTGAATACTTCCATGGATTCAATACTTTTCCAAAATGGAGAACTTCTCACAAAAGGCGAATGTGGACTGTCTTGTTGCTCAACTTCATTTTGTTGCTTGGCAGTCCCAGCAGGGTTAACTAGAGAACACAATCTTGATATTAGTCAAACTAACTACAGCCAAAGGAATCCATTGAAAATTTTCACAATAGCTTACTTGAGTACTCTTTGGCTTTTATAGAATGCATTTCATCTGCATACAGTGATAAAGGTTGATCATGGGCCGATGCTGTTGCAGATACTCCAGTCACAGTCACCTGAACTTCTTTTGTCAAGTAATCCATTGCGGAATCCACAGTTTCCGTCTCTCTCATCACTTCTTCAGAACCTGCAAATTTAAGAAAGACATGAAATTTAATACAACACAAGATAAAAGAGAACAGGATAAGCAAGTACTTCCAAAAGGGAAAAACAATAAAGGAAAAGCATATCACTATGTTAAGCTAACATTTTTTTTTGTTCTAGCAACACTTTGAATACATCCATGGTTTCAAATTTTTTCCCAACTGGAGAACTTTTTAGAAAAGGGAAAGTGTTTGACTGTCTTGTTGATCAGTGTCACCTGTTACACCAGTTTCAACCTGTCTTCCTCTGACCTCATTTTGTTTCCTGGAAAACTCTGCAGGATTACCTACAACACAACCTTGATGTTAATCAAACAAACCAAAGCCCAAGAAATACTTTGACAACTTTCTCAATTGCTCACTTAAGCCCTCTATTATTTTCTCAACATCCATTGCAGTATCTTCAGCTTCTGCTTCGACCGTTGCATCTTCAAAACCTCAGATTTTAAGAAAGGTATGAATTTTATGCTATGCAGGATAACAATAAATAGGATTAAACAATTACTACCAACATTTTAAAAAGTGAGAAAAGGATAAGTAAATCCCAATTATTTTGCTTTTTTTTGTTCGTCTACCAATATGTTGTACTTTTCCTTATTGACTCATTTTGACAATAGAAAAATCTTACGGGACTTAATTGTAGCTCCCTCACACACAATTCGGTTGCAGAATCTACACTCAGTATTACCAAAATCAGTGTATTTCTTGAACTGCAAAATCATGGTTTCTTAATTATGTTTCACTACCTCTATTTATTGACTCTTCCAATTTCATTTTCCTAATCACTCATCCAAATGTTGTAATTGACTCGTATCTTTTTCGCAGCAAAAAATTATAGAATACAAAAGCAAAAGCATACCAGTCATGGGGAGCATTCAAATTAAATTGCACACAAGTTCCTGTAATTCTTTTTATATAAACAAAAGGTTTTTTTCCAGGTTCTGATGTACCATACCATTATCATTGACAACTTGAGTCTTAGTCAATTCAACTTGAGCAACAACTCCAGTTCCATTGAGCTTCTCACCTGCAAAAATTAGAATTTATTCAGGCCACAAGTCTTCTATTCCATTGTGCTTAATTCAGGTTGTTAGCTACTCATACCTGTCAAATCCCACATTGTTATTACAGGCAATTCAAATATATCATTCGTATGATCTGCAGCAAAAGATCCAACGCCATTACGATCCTCACCCATATACTGTTACAAATCAGATTTTCAAAATATACACATCTATCGAGAATAGTGTAGCTCTGACACATTATACACACCTGTTGCTGGATCTTTTGGGAGTTCAACAAGATATTCAGCCAGTTTTCCCTTTCCTTTTATTTCACTGCTCACCCCATCTTCATTCTGTTCAACCTCCTGAATGAATCAATAAGAAATATGATGATCAACAAACTTGGGTTAGAGGGAAATAAATCTCAACAGGATGCCTCAAAATCCATACTAATTCCAGGGATTAGGTAAACTGAACACATTTTTTGAGTTAATTATAGAAAAAATTAAAATAAAACATCATTGTTTTTTCTTTATCAATATTAAAGATTTCTAGAATTATGGGCATGCGCAATCTTAGTCCGTCCTTTCACTTTTACCTCTGAAGTACAATTAAGTTCTCTTGTTTTATGTAACACTGCTATATAAAAATATATATATATAATTAAAAAGAAAAAAAAGAGGCCACTCTGTATTTCAACCATGACTGCTTTAATTGCCAAATTAGCATGTATCCAGTTAGCTAACAGGAGAATCATTCCTTTCTCTTGAACATAAATGTTTTATTCCTTGTCATCATATTGACCTTTCTACCCCAAAGCTTAATGCAGACTGCAGTTTTGATACGTAAAGAGATACAGAAGGAAGCATAGCATACAAGCTTCAGATATACCTCTACGGGGAGCAGACATGATGTTCCAGCATGAGATCCCCCCGTTAGCTCAGAATCCGACCTTATACCAGAAGATTCAATGTTGTCCAGTCCATACTCATCTTCAACATCTTCTTCATCAGCATTTTCGATTTCACTGCCCTTCTTGACTGCAACAATTTATACTCATTTGTTTTATGTGGATTACACAATGAATAGGTTAATACAGAAATAATATCATGTAATGTTAATCACTGTGGATATATGCCTCTGGCTAGTGATATTTTCACCAGGCAATTTCAGTGGCCTGCCCCTCCCCTCATGTCTCACTCTTGGCCAAGGGCAATCAACTTGAGAATTTTGTGGTTTACCTTTATGTTTATAAGAAATGATTTCTTGATTGTCCAGTTCTCCAACCTGTTGTTGCTCAGTCTTCTGCAATAGGAATAAAATGCATTCTAATCAGGACCATCAGGTGTCAGAAGAAACAAATCCAGAGAAGAAAAAAAATAATGCATCCCTTTGTTTTTTCTTTTTCTTTTTTGTATATATAGCACTTCTTACTTTCAAATGGCACTCTTCAGATGCAATCAACGCTATCAACTTATAAAATTCATAGAATGAGAGCAAGTTAATGAGGTTTTGAGAGGGAAGACTTGAGTCATGGTTTTGTTTACCCCAAAGGAACACTCAGCAATAGGAGAATATATATACCAACAACATTTGTTTTTACAGATCACTTACCGCACCCTTTCTAACTGGGGCTTCTCTTTTTGATGTTTTAACTCGCGTTCTCCTTGAAAATGATGGTGTAAAAGATAAGAAGTCTTCTGGATGTCCCCCTGTTAACTTCTTGGAAAGACGTAAAATTGTTGCATCATCATTAGGTTTCTGATTAATTTTTAGTTTCTTTTTGGTCTTTCCATATGGTGATTTATCAATGCAAGGACTCAAGTGCCATGAAATCCTTGAACAAGCTGTTTTTTCTTGATTATTATCCTTGGTAGCACCTGAACTTTCAAGTGCTTTAGCGACCTTGGAGCTTCTGAAACTCTCGCATGCACGCTTTGATTGTACTTCATAATCCACACTAAAGTGAGCTTCCTGAAACGAAAGGCTAAAACTTTAACCACCCACAAATAATTTGAGCCCATGTATGCTTTTCAGCATAGAAACTTAAATTTACCAGATAAAATTGCATCTTAATGATTATAATTCGAAGATAGGGTGATTCAAACATGGTTACAACTATACCCACAAAGACTCAAGCAATGACAACCGTGCAACCCCCTCTCCTCTCCCTCTCTCTTTTTTCCCAATATAAAACAACAGAAAAATATGCATACCTTATAGCAATCAACCCATGTTCCATCGATCTTTGTAATCCATCCTCTCTCCGTCCATTCCACATGAGGCCTCAATTCTGAAGGACTGCATTCCTTTACCTGCTTTGTGAATTTTAAACGGACCATATACTTTTCTTCTGTAAGAATTTGTGTAATCTCTCCGACCCACCAACCCATATCATAGAATGCATCCACCATTTCCATCAAGTTAAAATCTGTTTTGCCTGACTTCGGAGGCTGAGGCCGAATCTGATGGCCATTTACAACCACTTTAACATCACAGTTGTTTGAGCTCTTATATTGAAGCAAGAAAGAGTTAACCCCTAGTTCACCAAGATAAATTGCTGGGAACCAAGCATACAATAGATTGTCTTCATTGAGATTTATTTCCACTGCTGTCCCATGGCTGAAAATTGTCTCCTCTATCCTCTTTGAACCATTAGTGACAAAGATCAGTTTTCTTTCTCTCAAAAGAATAGCATATAGAAATTTGTATCATATCTCAAAAATAGAAGGAAACCAGATATCTTGCAAATGAGATAAATGAATGAACTGAGACGGCACGAAGTTGCAAACATATAAGTAAAGACCTCGGTAAATCCAAACTTCAAACTACAGAAAATCACAAGTTCCTAATTTGAAATACCCCAAGGTTTAGTGCCATACTTAATATTAAAAATGTTCACATGATTAATAATCATTCAAGTTTTAGTACACCATTTTTTCCTTTAGAAAGAAAAAGATAGCAAACGCAGAACCATGGATCTTTTTATAAGTAAATAGATACTGATAGACAGATTACTAAAAGTATCTGCTTTCTGTAAAATTTCATCAATTAATGGTAAAAGATTGAGTTCACAATAAAACCGTCTAACTTAACTTGCCCAAATATGATTTAGGGGGAGGGGGGGCTTATTTAAGAAACACAAAACCCAGAAGAAAAAAAATTAGAAAGCATAAACAAACATGATATCCAGTACTGGTTCGGATCATCACATCATCAATTCCCTAAGCAATAAAATAACAACTTTGGTCGATAATTCAGGAAAATCAATAGAATAGTCAAGAGAACCAATGATACTCATGACAACCGGTATTAAAAAATAAAATGAACACGGATAAACTGCTCTTAAAAAGTGCAATAACATAAAAAGATGATCTTTTTAGGAAAATAGAAATCTTTTGAAGGAAAAAAGGAAGAATCTAAACGCAGAACAACAAAGGCAAGGCCAATGTACAATAAACAACCTGCATGTTCTTAAATCATGAAAACCAATGGTAGAAAGCTCCAAAGAAAATTCATAAATAAACAAAAGAAAGCGCATGCAAGCATAAACCAAGTACAAATCCTGTGTAAAAAGACAAACCCACATGGATTATTAAAACGTAGAACTAGTACCTCCTTCCGGGCTCGAATCCATACGCCGTCCAGAAAATCCCAATGAGGCCGCAGCTCAGAGCGCCTTAACTCAAGCAGATCAGGTGGGTTTTTGAAACCCACCGTATACTTGTCATCCTCAAACCTCATCACAACCCCCACCCACCAAGCTTCTTGGTAAAAGGAGTCTACGACGTCTGCGGGCTCGAAGGGCTGGTAAGGATTGTCAGGAGGAGGCACGGGCCGGATGGAGCACACATCAACGAGCTCAGTGAGTGGCTTGTTTGGGTCATCGTCGAAGACCAGAGTCTCGTACTGCACCAGAGCCTTGCTTGAGTTGCCAAGGCTCTTCCTTTTCTTCTTCGCTGAGAGATCTGAGGGTTGTGGGTCAAGGATTATGGCAGGGAACCATGCACCTCTGTAACCCTCTTCGTTGCTGCAAACTTCCACCTTTGAATCCTTACTCAAATGCGCTTCGCTCCGCTTCACCACCATTTCTTACTTGTTTTCTCTCACTCTCTCCAGAGAGGCAAACACACTATATTTGTTTAGTAGTGTCTAAGCAGAGCGGTCAAGGTCAAGGTCAAGTTTTGGGAGAAAAGTAGGATTTTTTTTTTGTCCTTCGATCATAAACGTTTCATCGCTTCAAGACCCTCATATCTCTGGGTAAACGACGGATCGTAAAATTTAAACGATTTGTCGTGTAGATCAAGTTTCGTTGGAAACGACAGGCGTTAGTTCTCCCACTGAGAGTTGTTGGATTGGAATTTCGATGTTTTGGTTGTCCCTAGACCCAAAGCTCTATTGGTGTAGTTTTGTTGGGCCTCGGCCCACATTCATAACACTCAGGATATTGTAGTACATACAGATAATTGTCTGTTACCAGCATTCATAATAAACTACAGAACAGTTTGGTATCACGTCCCTCGTTACATTCAGAAGGGTATAGATTTTATATATCAGTGTCCAAGGTTAACAAAGGGAGAGGTAATCTAAAGGGAGAGATTATATATCAGTGCCCAAGGTTAGCAAAGGGAGTGGTAATCTAAAGGATGTCATCCATCAGAATCACAACAATCACCATGCTGCAGCAGCTAATTTCTCAAAATCACGATGGATGCTCTGAATGCCTTCAGTGATAGCATTAGCTTCTGATTGCAACTTGCTAATTTCAGAACCTTTGGCCACATTGATTGACATCAGGGTCCCCCGTTTTTCCTTCAAGTCCTTGATCTCCTTATCAATCCGACTGATTGTTTCATTGTTTCTGGTTCTGTCAAAAGTACACTCCGTGATCTGAATGTCAACTTCTTTTGATTGGTTCTCAAGCTGACCCAACTTAACTTTCATTTCAATCAATTCCTTCAAACGATGCCGTACTGCCGTAACATCAAATCCCAACATTTCCAAGTCAACCAGTGCCTCCAAGTTGCTATCAAATAAGTCTCTAGGATCGCCAACTTGCAACTTGGAAGTCTTCTCCACCAAAGAGGCAAAGGTTATCATATTTCCAAGAGCGGATCCTTCGCGACAAACCGCTTTACACTTCATCAGAGGATGAAAAGGTGGCCTTTGCGGAACTCTTTGGAATCCTTCCATGGATTCAATACTTTTCCAAAATGGAGACCTTCTCACAAAAGGCGAATGTGGACTGTCTTGTTGCTCAACTTCATTTTGTTGCTTGGCAGTCCCAGCAGGGTTGCCTAGAGAACACAATCTTGATATTAGTCAAACTAACTACAGCCAAAGGAATCCATTGAAAATTTTCACAATAGCTTACTTGAGCACTCTTTGGCTTTTATAGAATGCATTTCATCTACATACACTGATAAAGGTTGATCATGGGCAGATGGTGTTGCAGATACTCCGGTCACAGTCACCTGAACTTCTTTTGTCAAGTAATCCATTGCGGAATCCACAGTTTCCGTCTCTCTTATCGCTTCTTCAGAACCTGCAAATTTAAGAAAGACATCAAATTTAATACAACACAAGATAAAAGTGAAAAGGATAAGCAAGTACTTCCAAAGGGGAAAAAGAACAAGAAAAAGGATAAGCATATCCCTATCATGTTAAGTCTAACAGTATACATCCATGGTTACAATTTTTTTCCCAACCGGAGAACTTTTCAGAAAGGCAAAGTGGATTGTCTTGTTGCTCAGTGTCACCTGTTACCCCAGTTTCAACCTGTCTTCTTCCGACCTCATTTTGTTTGTTGGAAATCCCAGTAGGGTTACCTAGAACAAACCTTCATGTTAATCAAACAAACCAAAACCAAAACCAAAACAATACTTTGAAAACTTTCTCAATAGCTTATTTAAGCCCTCTATTATTTTCTCAATATCCATTGCAGAATCTTCAGTTTCTGCTTCGGACATTGCATCTTCAGAACCTGAGATTTTAAGAAAGGTATGAATTTTATACTACACAGATAACAATAAATAAGATTAAAATTACTACCAACAGGGAAAAAAAGTGAGAAATGGATAAGTACATCCCAATTTTATATTTTTACATTTTTTTTCTGTTCGTCTACCAATATGTTGTACTTTTTCTTATTGGCCCATTTTAACAAAAGAAAAATATTAAGGGATTTAAATGTTGCTCCCTCACACATGATTCAGTTGCAGAATCTACACTAAGTGTTACCAAAAGTCTGTGTTCCTTTAAATGCAAAATCATTCTTTCTTAATTATGTTTCACTACCTCTATTTATTGACTCTTCCAATTTCATTTTCCTAATCATCCATAAATGTTGTAATTAAATTGTATCTTTTTTCACGGCCAAAAATTATAAAACAAAAAAGCAAAAGCTTAACAGTGGAAGAGAGCATTCAAATTAAATTGCACATGAGTTCCTTTATTCTTTTTACATAAACTAAAGGTTTTTCCAGGTTGTGATGTACCATACCATTATCATTCGCAACTTGAGTCTTAGTCAATTCAACTTGAGCAACAACTCCAGTTCCATTGTGCTTCTCACCTGAAAAAAATAGAACTTATCAAGGCTACAAGTCTTCTATTCCATTGTGCTTAATTCAGGTTGTTAGCCACTCATACCTGTCCACTCCAACCTTTTTATCACATGCAATTCACTGCTCGCTCCATCTTCGTTCCATTCAACCTCCTGAATGAATTAATAAGAAATATCATGATCAACAAATTTGGGTTAGAGGGAAATAAATCTCAATAGGATGCCTCCAAATTTGTACTCATTCCAGACATTAAGTAAAGTTGAACACATTTTTTGAATTAATTATAGACAAAATTAAAATAAAATACCATATTAATAATTGTCTTTTTCTAATAAGGTCAACAATAAATATTCCTAAAATTATGGGCACGGGCCATCTTAGTCCTTCCTTTCACTTTTACAGCACTCTTTGAGGTATAATTGAGCTCTCTTGTTTTATGTAACACTATTTCAAACAATTTTTTTAATATATAAGTTATTTAAATTAAATAATAAATAAATAAATAAGATACCACTCTGTATTTCAAACCATGGCTACTTTAATCACCAAATTAGCATGTACCCAGTTAACTAACAGGAGAATCATCCCTTTCTTTAGAACAGAAAAGTCTTATTCCCTGTCATCATTTTGGTCTTACATTTGTTTGATAGAGAGCACACTGGTCTTGCATTTTTACCCCAAAGCCTAATGTAGACTGCAGTTTTGATATGTAGAGAGATAGAGAAGAAACAGAGCATACGGGCTTCAGACATACCTCCATGGGGAGCAGACATGATGCGTCAGCATGAGATCCCCTTGTTAGTTTAGACTCTGTACCAGAAGATTCAATGTTATCTACTCCATACTCATCATCAACATTTTCTTCATCAGCCTTTCTTATTTCACTGCCCTTCTTGACTGTAAAAAATTATACGCATTTGTTTTATGTGGATCATACAATGTTAATATAGAAATAATATCATGTAATGTAAACAGTGTGGATGGCTCTGGCTATTGATTTTTTCACCAGGCAATTTCAGTAGCCTGCCCCTCCCCTCATATCTCACTCTTAGCCAAGGGATATCACCTTGAGAATTCCGTACTTTACCTTTTCGTTTAAGAGAAACTATTGCTTGATTGTCCAGTCCTCCAACCTGCTGTTGCTTAGTCTTCTGCAATAGGAATAAAATGCATTCTAATCAGGACCATCAGGTCTCAGGAAGAAACAAAACCAGAGGAAAAAATAATGCATCTCTTGCATTTTTTGTATATAGCACTTCTTATTTTCAAATGGCAGTCTCAGATGCTATCAACTTATAAATTCATAGAGAGCAAGTTAATGAGGTTCGGAGAGGGAAGACTTGACTCATGATTTTGTTTACCCCGAAGGAACACTCAGCAATAGGAGAATATATACCAACAACACTTTTGTGAGAGTTCATTTACCACACCATCTCTAACTGGGGCTTCTTCGCTCCTTCGAAATAATTGTGCAAAAGATAAGGAGTCTTCTGAATGTCCCCATATTAACTTCTTGGAAAGACCTAAAATGGTTGCATCATCGTTAGGTTTCTGATTAATTTTTAGTTTCTTTTTGGTCTTTCCGTAAGGTGATTTATCAATGCAAGGACTCAAGTCCTCCGACTGATTCTTCCACAAAATCCTCAACCAAGGTGTTTTTTCTTCATTAATATCCTTGGTAGCACCTGAACATTCAAGTGCTGCAGCTAACTCAAAACTCCTGGAACTCTCGCATGCACGCTTTGATCGTACTTCAGAATCCCTGCTAAAGTGACCTTCCTGAAACTAAAGGCCAAAAATTTAGCCACCACAAATAATTTGAGCCCATGTATGTTCTCTACATAGAAACTTAAACTTATCTTATAAAATTGCATCCTAATTATTATATTTCCAAGACAGGGTGATCCAACCATGTTTGCCATCATGTCCCATAAAGTAACAAGTCATGACACCACCCTCACCCCCCGGCCCTTTTCCCAACATTAAACAAGAGAAAAATATACATACCTTAAAGTAAGGAACCCAGTTTCCATTGATCATAGTAACCCAGTTTCTATTGATCATAGTAACCCGTTTTCCATTGATCATAGTAACCCATCTTCCATCAGTCCAGTACATGTGACGCCTCAATTCTGACTGACTGTATTGCTTCACCTCCTTTGTCAATTTGAAACAGACCACATACTTCTTTCCTGAAAGAACTTTTATAATCTCTCCGACCCACCAACCCATATCAAAGAATGCATCCACCTTTTCCATCAAGTTAAAATCTCTTTCAGCCAACTTTGGAGGCTGAGGCCGAATCTGTTTGCCACCTACGACCACTTTAACGTCACAGTTGTTTGAGCTCTTATATTGAAGCAAGAAATAGTTGGCCCCTAGTTCACCAAGATAAATTGCTGGGAACCAAGCACAGAATAGATGTTCTTTGTAGAGATTCACTTCCACTGCTGTCCCAGGGCTGAAAAATGATCCCGCCATCCTCTATGAACCATTGGTGAGAAATATCAGTTTTCTTTCTATTAGAAGCACAGCATATAGAAATTTCTATCATCCCTCAAAATAGGAATCCAGACACATTGCAAATGAGATAAATGAATGAACTGAAAAGGCATGAACTTGCAAACATATAAGTAAAGACCTCAATAAATCCAAACTGAAAACTCCACAAATCACAAGTTCCTTATTTGAAATACAAAAAACAAAACAAAAGAAGACATGAAAGAAAAAAATCTTTTGAGTTAAATATCTATATTGAGAAGAAGACTGCATCAGAACTAGCTAGATGCTGTGGCTAACGCATCATTGGCCATCTATAGCACTTAAATACTCAAAACTACAAATGTTCACACAATTAGTAATCATTTAATTCATGGCAAAAGATTGTGTTCACAATAAAACCGTCTAACTTAACTTGCCCAAATACGATTAGGGGGAAGGGGACTTACTTAACAAACACCACAATATCAGAGAAGTCCCAAAAAAAAAATTAGAAAGCACAAACAAACCTGATATCAAGCACTGGTTCGGACCAAGGACAACAAGCAATAAAAATAACAACTTTGGTTGATAATTCAGGAAAATCGATAGAATAAACATGTGAACCAATGACACTCATGACAACTGGTATTAAAAAAACATGAACACGGATAATGATACTCACTGAGCTCGTTGGCCTTGCAACATAAAAAGATCATCTTTTTAGGGAAATAGAAATCTTTTTAAGGAAAAAATAAGAATCTAAAAGCAGAGCAACAAAGGCAAGGCCAATGTACAATAAACAACCTGCATGTCCTTAAATCTTGAAACCAAGTACGAATCCTGTATTAAAAAACAAACCCACATGCATTATTAAAATGTAGAACTAGTACCTCCTTCTGGGCTCGAACCCATACGCCGTCCAGAAAATCCCAATGAGGCCGCAGCTCAGAGCGCCTTAACTCAAGCAGATCAGGTGGGTTTCTGAAACCCACCGTATACTTTTCATCCTCAAACCTCATCACAACCCCCACCCACCAAGCTTCTCGGTAAAAGGCATCTACGACGTTTGCGGGCTCGAAGGGCTGGTCAGGATTGTCAGGAGGAGGCACTGGCCGGATGGAGCACACGTCAACGAGCTCAGTGAGTGGCTTGTTTGGGTCATCGTCGGAGACCAGAGTCTCGTACTGCACCAGAGCCTTGCTTGAGTTGCCAACAAGGCTCTTCCTTTTCTTCTTTGGTGTGCCATCTGAGGGTTGTGGGTCAAGGATTATGGCTGGGAACCATGCACCTTGGTACCCGTCTTCGTTGCTGCAAACTTCCACCTTTGAATCCTTGTTCAAATGCGCTTGGCTCCGCTTCACCACCATTTTTTGTTTTCTCTCACTTTCTCCAGAGAGAAAAACACACTACATTTACTAGTGTTTAGTAGCAGAGCGGTCAATGTTTTGTCCTCCTTGTTCTTCCAGGACTCTCAAATTGTGCATAAACCCAAAGAAGTGTAGATTTGTTGGGCTTCGGCCCACATTTATACCAAAGAAAATATTTGAATAAACAGCCAACCACTCCACCAAATGGAAGATTCCAAACATTTCCTAATGTAAAGAAAAACTCTAAAAACGTTATCTTGAAATTTGAAGTGTCTTTGCTTGGTCTTATTTAAAGCGTGTCAGATTTACAGTTACATTAATATTCTAGAAGAAATATATATCTGATATATGTTTTGTAATTCACTTATAATGTTTTAATCCAAAAAATATAACTTATAATGTGATTTTATTTGGACATTACATCTGATTTTGTATCCCAATTTATTGGTCGTCTCAAGCTAAAATGGAAGTGTAAATGAGATGTAAAATCACCATCTCTCAATTTGGTGGTACATTATAAAATGCAAATATTAAATTTCTTTTTCATGAAAGAAAAATTTAGGTGGAGATTAGCTACTTTTAACATCAACATTAGGACATACCCACAATCTCAAGTTAAAAAAATTTATGCGTGGTACCCAAGTGTCAGTTGTGACAAGTATGAATTTATCTAGGAAAATGCAAATATTCTTTAATATTAATATTTTTTGGCAATTAAGAATATAATATTGTTTGGCAATTGTGTGTTGGTCCAAACAATAATTAAAGCAGAGTCAAATTTGTCAACTTGTCTTCCCTCTCTCTCTTTTTTCTCTCGTTTTTCTCGTCACCTTCCTCCCAACCAAAGTCATGACCCACTAAGCCATTTCCACAGGTCAAAGAAACCATTTTTTTAACCAATCTCCCTCCCCATGATCTCATTCTTCATCAAACCCATCTCTTTCCTTCCCTTCTGTCAAAATCTTAACTTCACAAAGACCCCTCTCATTCTCAATTTATCACATTCTGTCATTCTATCTCTCAATTCAATTCAATTCAATTCAATTCATCTCACCAACCAGTTTCTCACCCACCATGTTGATGCTGGTAGACTGCTCAGGCTGCCGCACGCCTCTGCAGCTGCCACCTGGAGCTCAAACCATCCGCTGCGCCGTCTGCCAAGCCGTCACCCGCGTCGCCGACTCGCGCGCTCTTCCTCCTGTGCCCTCCTCCTCCTCCTTCCACCGCCCACCTCCTCCTTCCACTTCTCCCTACAACCACGCGCCGCCGGGGCCTCCTCCGTCGGCTCACGGACGCAAGCGGGCTTTGATATGCGCCGTGTCGTATAAGCGCTCTCGGCACGAGCTCAAGGGCTGCATTAACGACGCCAAGTGTATGAAGTACTTGCTGGTCAACAAGTTCAGCTTCCCCGAGTCCTCCATTCTTATGCTCACTGGTAGCTCTCCATTCTCATTTCTTCAATGTTTGGTCTTTTTGATGTTGCGTGTGGTTTGAATTTATGGGTTGTTTTCTAATTAGACTTTAAATTTATGGGTCAGCAAAGACTAGTTCTTGTGTTCTTATCCTACATACTTTTGTAATTGGATCGTTGAATTATTCTGCATTGGTAGTAAAGCATCGATCTTTTTTTACAAACTGATATGTTTCTGTCGATTTGAATGTTATATATATTATGACTAATTCTTTAATTACCATTTAAGTGATATTACTATTACATTTAAGAATCTTTACTTGGGTTCTTTCTCATGTTTCCATAAACAACTGAGTTTTGTATTATGAGTAATTGAGTATGCCATGTTGTTCCATAATTTCAATGATGAGATATGGTTGTAAAAAGTCAAAAACGGGGGTTATGCTGATGCACCATGGTTTATTTTAGAAGGTAATTGAACAATGTGCATAGCATGTAATGCAGATAAGTTCTGACCTTAATCTCTATGTGACTGTAACTTGCAGAAGAAGAATCTGATCCGTATCGGCGCCCAACCAAACAAAATATGAGAATGGCGATGTTTTGGCTTGTGCAAGGTTGTCAAGCTGGGGATTCCTTGGTGTTTCATTATTCTGGTCATGGATCACAACAGAGGAACTACACTGGAGATGAGGTGGATGGATATGATGAAACACTCTGTCCCTCAGATTTTGAGACTCAGGGAATGATCGTGGATGATGAGATCAATGCGACAATTGTCAGACCTCTTCCTACTGGGGTTAGGCTCCATGCTATTGTAGATGCTTGCCATAGTGGTACTGTGCTAGATTTACCATTTCTCTGTAGGATGGACAGGTGACTCCAGTTTGATATTTTGTTTCTTCATATCTTATCTTATGTGTCTTTGCATAATGTAATCTAATCTTTATTCTCCATCTCTGCCCGTATTATGAATATATGAAAGTTATCTATGCTTTATTCTTTACTCTCCATAATGTTATTCTGTATTGTTTTGTGCTTAATATTGCTCTATGTACTTACCCTATTTATTCTTGTGTGTGGATGTAGAAGCGGAAAGTATGTATGGGAGGACCATCGCCCTCGGTCAGGTGTTTGGAAAGGAACCAATGGTGGGGAGGCCATTTCCTTTAGTGGCTGTGATGATGATCAAACCTCTGCCGATACCTCGGTAAAGTCATATTTCAACTACATTAGCCATCATGCCTTTTTTCTAGCCTAAGGATATTATAAGAACAAAGCTAACACTTCATCTGTGCAGGCCCTGTCAAAGATTACTTCAACTGGTGCCATGACTTATGCTTTCATCCAAGCCATCGAGCGTGGACATGGAAATACATATGGGAACATGTTGAATGCAATGCGATCTACCATCCGTAACACAGATAATGATCATGGAGGTGGTATTGTGACGTCTCTTATCTCCATGCTTTTGACAGGAGGCAGTCTTGGTGGATTGAGACAGGTATGATTGTCAATCTTTAAACACCAGTTTGAGCATATAACAAAATCTGATGTTTGTTGCAGTAGTTTGATTAAAATCAGCATGCCAACTTTTGTGAGCAATTAAATGATTCCTAAAAGTTTAGTTAGACACTGCAGTATGAAGGAAAATATAAAAGAAAAATAATGTTTCATATCTTTAGAAGATGTGCAGTCCTCTGTTTTTGCACTGTGAGAAATGCATTGGTGGGTCTTAAATTTTATTTTTGTGTATTCGTCATATTGCATTTTGTTAAACTTGATCTCATGTCTAGTAAGCTGATTTCAGTCTTAACTTTCCTTTGAACTGTCTTTGCCGCAGGAACCACAGCTAACTGCCAATCAACCATTTGATGTGTATACAAAGCCTTTCTCCCTCTAGTCAGTGAAACAGTATTTCCATCTTCTAATCATCCAGCGTGTCCGGACCTCCCAGAAGTGCTTACAGTTCTTCCCAGGGAAACCCGATTTTGTCATCTGATTGCTTCCAGTTCTATTGGTTGTTAATCTTATATTTTTCTTAGGTATCTCACCCCCCTCACCCCCCCTCACCCCGAGATCTTGCTAGAAATATGCATATTTTATAGAATGGGTGTGCACCTTGTAAATCCAATTTCCAGCAAACCCCTGACCTAGTTCCTTTTGATGGAACATACTTGGTCTTCAACAAGATCCAAACGCAAAAATTCCCCGATTCCTCCTAGTTATTGTTCCTTATCATGCAAAGCAGAACCAAGAAACAGAAACAGCTCCAAAACGAATGATTTTCACCTGATATATATTTTTTCCAGTTATTTTTATGGATTCAGTCAAAAGCGGAGGCATTTCAAATTATTTGATAGCATAGATCTTGGGTATTTTGAATTCTTCCACAAAGTTCTTATTCTTTGTCCTTGAATTTTCACATATGCATAGATTGTGAAGATATAATGGAGTATAACATGTCATTTATAGTGACACTGATTACAATAGAAAGAGAACAAAACAATGAAAAAGAGGCAAATGCATATAAATATATTCCAACAGAATAGAATCCAAGAACGTGTAAAGTATTGTAGCAAAAAAGAAGATGCAAAAAGCATCACGGATAAAAGTAAAAAGAAAGTAAAAAAAAATGTTCGAATCTGATAAAATTAACATGGGAAGTTGGAATGTATAAAGTCCCATGATTTTTAGGACAATGATTACAACATCTTCTCTTCCCTTACCCTCAGACTCTCTCACTATGTTGATGCCTGTTCAGTGCTCAAAATGCCATAAAAGTGCAGCTACTACCACCAGGCCCACCCTCCATGTGCTGCCATGTTGCCACCTATACAGCTCCATACTCTTACTCCCACCACTATCCACCTCATCAACTGCCACTCACCGCCCTGCCTCCGCCCCCTTACAGCCACTTGCTGCCCAGGCCACCTCTGTTCACCCGTGTATGCAAGCGAGCTGTGATATGTGCCGTGTCTTATAAGAACTCCAAGCATGAGCTTAAGGGGTGCATTAACGATGCAAACTGCATGAGGTATTTGCTTGTCAACAGGTTTCACTTCCCAGAGTCCTCCATTCTCATGCTCACCGGTAATTTCGATGTGAAAACAATGTTCCTAAAAATTTTATGCAGATAATTATTTCTGATCTTAAATCTCTAGCTGAGAGGTACTCTTGCAGAAGAAGAGGCTGATCCTAATAGGCATCCATCCAAACAAAATATGATAAAGGCTCTGTATTGGCTTGTGCAAGATTGTCAACCAGGAGATTCTTTAGTATTTCATTATTCTGGTCATGGAAAACGCAGGAAGAACAACACTGGGGATGAGGTGGATGGATATGATGAATACTTGTGCCCGTTGGATTTTAAGACTGGGGAACTGATTTCAGACAATGAGATCAATGCAATAATTGTCAGACCTCTTCCTCATGGGGTTAAGCTCCATGCATTTATAGATGCTTGCCATAGTGGTACTGCTCTCGATTTGCCATTCCTCTGTAGAATGGACAGGTAATTAAGTCACAGCTTAATACCTTTGTTGCTTAAAATCTGATATGGTTAAGTTCAATCCCAGATTTTAGTATTGCTTTATGGATGCAGAAGTAGGAGATATCTGTGGGAGGACCATCGGCCTCCATCCGGTGTTTGGAAAGGGACAAATGGTGGGAAGGCTATTTGCTTCAGTGGCTGTGATGATCACCAGACCTCTGCTGATGCTTCAGTACTTGAAAAAAATCTAAGACACCATCTTAATTTCTTAAACTAATTATTCTGCTTAGAAGTAACTTGTAACACCCCGACTCCGTTTACTTTCCAATGCGAATGGAAAAACTCAATGAAACTATGAAATTACGAAACTACCCTCGGGGTGGGGTCTTTCGGTCCTTTTCTTGTCCGGAAGGATTTTGGGACCACAAGTGGTTTGGTTGCGTAGGTGGTTCTGAGATGAATTCGTGGACAGGCGGTAGGTTTGAATCGGAATTATAACGAGGTTTTAACGATGAAATTTCTTTCGGTGGCAAAACCGTAAATAACTCGAAAAGGGTATTTTACAAATAAAATCAGATTTTCATTTTTTGTTATTTCTCTTTCTCTCTCTCTCTCTCTCTCTCTCTCTTTCTTCCCCCGAGCGGTTTCTCTCTCCCCCCCCCCCCCCTCTCTCTCTCTCTCTCTCTCTCTCTCTCTCTCTCTCTCCACGTCTTAACGCGTTTTTGCTTTCATCACCCATCTATTTAGCTCCAACTTAATATCACAGAAGCTTATTCTGTTCTTTATTGGGCTTAATTTCCCTCCAAAAAAGTAAGAAAATCTTTGGATCTTTCTTCCTTTGACAAATCAACACGCAATGTTTAAACCCCATTTGTCCCCTTCCTAGAAATTTCCTTCCTCATGATCTCAATAGTAAAAGTTGTTCCCTTTATTTAACTTTCCACACCACACCCACTTCCTCTATCATATTTTCTCACCTCCCCTCCTCTTCTTCTTCTCTCTCTCTTGTGGTCTGTGATCCTCTTAATCTTCACACACACTGCATAAAGTTCGAATCTTTCAACAACCCAGATCGAGTTTTGTAGTTTCTTCATCGGATTTTGATACAAAATGGAGAACAACAACAACAACCAGTCGTTTTGGCAATTCAGCGATCAGCTTCGCGTTCAAGGCACCAACTTTGCAAATCTCACAGTTAATGATTCGATTTGGAGCAATTCGTACAGCAAGAGGCCTGATGAAAGGAGGAATTTCGATATAAAGGTAGGCGGCGATGTCAGTCCTCTGATCAATTTAACCCCAAAAGGGTCTGATTTCAATGGTTTCAACGACTCTTGGGTGGACAATCTGAAGCCAAAAGGGTCCTCTGACTCCAACGGCTCCAACGATGGCTGGAACAGCTTCAAGCCAAAAGCTTCAGAGCTCAACAATGGCTTTAACGACAGATGGAACAATTTCAAGCCAAAAGCTTCAGAATTTAACGCTTTTAACGAGGGCTGGAAGCTTGGTGCTTCTGCTGCTGCTGCTGGGTCGGTTCTTGGCGGCGGCTCGCAGCTCAATGGCGGCTTCAACAAGGGGATTTACTCCAAGCCTGCAATTTACAACAACAACAACAACATGGTCAATTTGAAGCCCTACAAGAACAAGGCTCATGAGGAAGATCTTGTTCATGGCGGCAAAGTTGGGAAGAAGAACAACAACAATTCTAGCAAGAAGAAAGCTGGTGGAGATGACAACAACAAGGACAGCAAGGGCGCTGTGGACAAAAGGTTCAAGACTCTGCCACCAGCTGAGTCTCTGCCTAGAAATGAAACCATTGGTGGATATATCTTTGTCTGCAACAATGATACCATGCAAGAAAATCTCAAGAGGCAGCTTTTTGGTATGTCCCTTTTGATTTTTTTTTCCATAATTTTGTTTTTCAATTGGGTTTGCTTAAAAAAAAAGGAATTGATTTGAAGAATTTGTGTTAATTTTGTTTTTCTGCATAATTCTTTTGCAGGTTTGCCTCCACGTTATCGTGATTCAGTGAGGGCGATAACTCCGGGGTTGCCCCTTTTCCTCTACAACTACTCCACCCACCAACTCCATGGAATTTTTGAGGTTTGTAGCTTCTCTCCTGCCGACACTTCTCTTTGAAATATTTAAATTTCATCCATTTGCCGACTTTAGACTTTTCACCTAATATTTTAGTGTTTTGTTGAAGAAGTAGGAATGTGTTTTGCTTGTTCAACTCTTGTTTTGGCCAAACTTCTAGATGTTTATTTACGTTTTGTGCTTGTGCACCAATTGCTAGCTAACAACGACCTTTCTTGTGGGTTTTAGGCTGCAAGTTTTGGAGGCACCAACTTTGATCCAACGGCCTGGGAGGACAAGAAGTGCCCTGGCGAGTCACGTTTCCCAGCTCAGGTTTGTGATCGATTTCAAAAGAATTTGAGATGAGCAAATTGAGTGCTCTCAAATTTACCATTTTACTGTGTTTCATTTGCTCACCATTTATCCTCATGAACCGCAGGTTCGAGTTTTTACCAGGAAAGTTTGTGAACCACTTGAGGAAGACTCATTCAGGCCAATTCTTCACCACTACGATGGCCCTAAATTCAGGCTTGAACTTAGTGTACC